GAGTTCCAGTACAGGCACAAAGCTACACAGAGAAACCTTGTCTCGAAAAAAAAAAAAAGAAAGAAAGAAAGATAGAAAGAAAGAAAGAAAGAAAGAAAGAAAGAAAGAAAGAAAGAAAGAAAGAAAAAAGAAAGAAAGAAAGAAAGAAAGAAAGAAAGAAAGAAAGAAAGAAAGAAAGAAAGAAAGAAAGAAAGAAAGAAAGAAAAAGGAAGGAAGGAAAGAAGGAAGGAAGGAAGGAAGGAAGGAAGGAAGGAAGGAAGGAAGGAAGGAAGGAAGGAAGAAAAAAGAAAAGGAAATGCAAGATGAAGTGTCAGGAGGTTTAAAACTCAGTGATTTTCAGTAAGTCTAGAAACAGATTAAGTTTTGACTCACATACCTTAAAACCATCATGAGGGAGCAGAGCATGGTGGCACACCTTTGATACCAGCACTCCAGAGGCAGAGGCAGGCAGATGTTTGAGTTCAAGACCAGCCTGGTCTACAAAGTGGGTTTCAGGACAGCCAGGGCTACACAGAGAAACCTGGTCTCGAGAAAAACAAAAACGAACATCATGAGCATGCAAAAAGCTGATAAAAATTCCCCCGGGGGCACCAAGACAGTAGAAAACAACCTTCCGTATGGTTACACAAGTCACAGTGAAGAGCTCCCTAACACCCTCATTACTCCGTCTCAAGTGGTTGAACAGAACCCCAATTAACTCAATAGAGCCCCCCCCCCAAATTTCCAAATGGACAAGGCCTGTCATACAATGGTACAATCTCCCAAATGGTTCAACAGAACTCAAACAGTCCAGGGTTCCACAAGACAAAGCTAGTCACCAAATAGCAGTTACCAAAATGGTTCAAAATGAACCTAACTAGTTCAAAAGAGTCCCAAACCAAAAGGAAGTCAAAGCCTGGGGTGCACTGACGGGGAAGAAATTCACTAAGGGTCAATTTTTTTTTAATCCAAAACAAGTCCAAATACTCATGTCTCTGCTTTATCCAATAGAAGTAAAAAGCAGCTGAGCAGTGGTGGCACACACCTTTAATCCCGGCACTCTCGAGGCAGAGGCAGGCGGATCTCTGCGAGTTCAAGGCCAGCCTGGGCTACAGAGCTTGGCCAGGACAGCCAGTGCTACATAGAGAAATCCTGTCTTGAAAAAACAAAAACAAACAAACAAACAAAATAGAAATAAAAAGCAACTAATGCCCCCTGAAATGGGAAGATAAGGAAAAGTCCCTGGAATAAAGTGACTCCAGCAGCTGTGTGGTAGCCTTTGATCTTTCTTATTTATCTGAGGTTAATTTGTTATAAGTGGCCAACACACACACACACACACACACACACACACACACACACACACACACACAAAGTCTATCTTCCTGGTTATGTGACTTGGAGTTGTCAGGGCCAGCACCTGAACTCTGGCATCGCCTAGCCACCCATTCCCAAGTGGCCACTTAAGCAAACAAATGATACTGAAAAAGCAGAGTGAGATTTATGAAATGTGACCACATTAGGAAGAGGAACCAGGAGGCCCAATGACTCACCCACTACCAGAACATCTTTGGGGTCCTAACATGAAGTTTAAGTTTAAGTAGAGGGTAAGAGGTATAAATAAGCTAATCATTCCTAGTTGAGGTATGGTCCCACCATCACCATTGTCTCAGTTCCAGTCTCTCCTCAAGGGGCTCTGACAAATTGTCGGTGTTGTATGACAAGCTGGGAGACAAGCTCTTCCTCTGGTTGGCACCAAAACCCCAGCCTTTTGCTCTATTCAGCTTGAGGTCCATTGTCTCAATAGCCTGGTAGCCTAAGGGAAGAACACAGTATCTGTTTATAATATCTTCATTCCTGTAAGGATGGTTACACAAATACGTCACTTTTAAATAATTATTTCAGTCGTATGATCCCTAAAGGCTCCTGTTCACCTCATAATGCAAAGTTCATTTAGCCCATCTTTAAAGTTCCCAAAGTCTTAACAGTTCCAAAATTGTTCAAAAGCCCCAACATCTTCTCTGAAGTCATGGCAATCTCTTGCTGTGAATCCATGTAAAATAAAACAAGCTACATACTTCCAATAAATAATGGCATGGAATAAACATTTCCAGTCCAGAATGAAAGGATGCAATGATAGCAAGGAAATGTTTGCTAAAGCAAGATCACAACCCAGCAGGACAAACACCAAACCTTGCAATTCCATATGTGGCATCTGGGACTCAAGACGGAACCATCTGGACTCTTAACAGCCTTGGACAGCTCTGCCCATCTAGCTCTACTG